GCGCGCGCAGAGCGCCCAACTAGTTTGGAAAAGCCGACGCGGCCGCGGTGGCGCTGACCGATGGGGACTCCCTCGCGCGTCTCACAGGCAACGCTGGAACGCGGACGAAGCAGTGCGGGCAGGTGACGCCGACAACCGCGGAAACCACGATGTTAGTAGCGGTGCTGGTGACGATGATGACGATGACGACGGCAAGGCCGATGACGGCGCCGACGCAAGTCACGCCAGTCATCGTGATGATGCCTACGTGCCACCGACGAAGATTTTGGATAGATGCGGACAAACGCGCGCGGCCGACGCGCGCGAGTGGCCCGCATAATATTCCTTGACAGGGATCGTGCCTCCCAACAAGCGCAAAGGTGTTTGAATGACTGCACCACGCGTGCGCGACAGGCCCGCGTGGTCCCATTTGGCGAAAACGGTGGAGCACCATGGGTTCCCCTAAGAATTTGCAGGGGCGCGCGCGCAGTTGTCTGCTGCATTTTTTGTATATAAGAACATGTTTTACTGACTGTTATGGGGGACCTCGGTTTTGATATCCTTCCGCAACCTGTTGTATTTGTACGGAGTCTTGAATAGGCGCGCGACGGCGCGCCCGTGTGGCTTTTGTCATGTGGTTTGCAACGGGATTTTGTCAACCGGTCTTTCCTGATAAACGAGCGCGCGCATACCAGCATTCGGCAAAAAGGTGACGGGGGCCGATAAGAGACTCGAAGATACGGTATGAATCCACACGCAACACGGATGATGAGGCAAACTCGCACGTACGTTGTAGTATCCCATACAGTAGCGACCAAGTCGGTCATCCCACCCACCCACCCGCAACGTGGTTTGCAAAACCCATGCGGCGGCGATTGCGATGACTGCTTGGCTCTGGCTGGCACATCGCTGCGGCCGCGCTAGCGCGCAGGCCCGCTCGCAGAATGGCCAACGAATCTGGCACGACCGACGCGGCCGCGGTGGCGCTGACCGCTTGGCACTTCCCAATGCGTCTCGCAGGCCGTGCTGAAACGCGGGCATGTCAATACGAGTCGGTGGCTCGGTCGGGCGCGGTACCATGGCGACGCTGGCAGCGGCAGACACGATGATCATAGTAGCGATGCTGGTGACGAGAATGGCAATGACGACAACAAGGCCAATATCGGCGCCGATGCTGATCACGTCGATGACAATGCAGGTGTCCGTGTGTCTGTGATGAAGGGCTTCGAAGGAATTCGACATGCGCACGCGGCCAACGCGCGCGCGAGTGGCCCGCGTTGTATTCTTTGTCAGGGATAGTGCTTCCCCCCAACACGCGCGCAAGGGTGTTCGAATGATTCCGACATGCGCGCGCGAGAAGCCTGTTTGGTCGCAGTTGGTGAACACTTTGAACGGCCGGTGGCTATCGTCACTTCGACCAATTTTTGCAAAGGATTCCTGCGACAGCACGCGCGCAAAGGCGTCCGAATGATTTCGACACGCGCGCGCGAGAGGCACGGTTGGTCGCGTTTGGTGAACGTGTCAAAAAACACAATGACTTCCGACGTAACTCGAGCGCTGTTTCTTTTGAAAATTCCAACTGCGAGCCCATGGTGTTTTCCCAACCCTCGTGTGGTGTTGGGTCCTCGTTTGAAGAGCCTCCTCCTTCCTCCCTTCCCCCTCCCATTCCTGCCTCTGCCCTCTGCACTAGTCAACAATTTCGGCACATCCCTAGCACGCTGCGTGGCCCCATAGGGAGCTCCACTAAAGGCCCTAGCGACAAGGTCTCTTCATGTTGGCGCACCCCAGACACGGTTCGTGGCCACGTCGCGAAACCAGCCGAAGGTCCCAATGGCAAGGTCCACATGGCGGCGCCGTCCCGTTTTGGCGCACCCATCACACTGTTCTGTGGCCCCGTAAAAAGCTCCACCGAAAGCCCCAGGGGCTGGATCTACATGGCGGCGCCGCCCCATTGTGGCGCACCCCATCACATGGTGATGTGCCCCCGTAGGGAGCCCGCCGGAGGCTCCAGTAGCAAGGTCCACATGGCGGCGCCACCCCATTTTGGCGTACCCCCTCACACGGCTCGTTGCCCCAGAGGGAGCTCCACCGAAAGCCCCTGTGGCAGGGTCTACAGTGCTGGCGCCGCCCCATTTTGGCGCACTCCCTCGCACGGTTCGTGGTCACATCGCAAAATCAGCCGAAGGTTCCAGTGGCAAAGTCCACATAGCGGCGCCGCCGCATTTTAGCGCACCCCTCTCACGGTTTTGTGGCCCCGCAGAGAGCTCCACTGAAGGCTCCAGTAGCAAGGTCCACCTGGCGGCGCCGCCCCGTGTTGGCGCACCCCTCACACTGTTTTGTGGCCCCGTAGGGAGCTCCACCGAAGTTCCCAATGGCGGGGTTCGCATGGCGATGCCGCCTCATTGTGGCGCACTTTTCAAAAGGTTCGTGGCCCCATAGGGAGCTCCAACGAAAGCGGCGTCACAACATGGTACTCACAACTGCATATGGTTGGGTCCTTCGCCAAGGTAATTCACATGTTTTGGGGACACTCGACTTCGACATCCTTACGACACCGCAAGTTTTGAGCGGATTTCGGATAGCGCGCGACGACGCGCGCATGTGCACTTCACCCCGTTGTTTTTTTTTGCGAGAGATCATTGGGCAAATACAATATTTGAAGATGAAGGCGTGTGTGCACAACAAATTGTTTGACAAGAGGGGTCGATAACCGGACTGCTTGGGATGGTCCGAGTTCAACTTACGGATGGACGGGCGTGCATAATCATACACGAAGAACAATACGAGAAGATCATGTGTTAACCCCGGGGGGTGCGGTAGATCCTGGTAGCTGACGAAGAAGGGAATATCTGTGGTTTGAGCCTGCTCATGCGCAATGTATTGGGCGCAATCTATTTGGCGAAATCGACTGCAATGCAGTGCGATTGCAATGCGATGCAACGCGGCGACTATAGTGCAATGCGGTTGCAGTGCAACGGGGGAAGGGTGCAACGGGGCGGTGGTGACGGGCGGCGACGAGGCGGCCACAGGCCAGCCAGACCGACAACCGCGCCCAGTTTCTTGGAAGAGAAATAAGAACTACGAAGTGCAATCAATGTTTGGGGGATAAACCCTGTCAGTGAATCACTCATCTTGTGTTCCGACAGAGGCGCATGTGCAGCACATGAGCGGTCGTGAAGCACATGCGTGAAGCAAATCGCATTCCCAACAGGCCACTTGTTCTTACTTGGCCGAGGTGATGATCGACGTAACCTGATCCCGCTCTCGCAGTCACGGTGGCTTGTGTCCACTGTGCGCATGGAACTGGAAACACGCGTGCACTTCGAGAGCGCGAGCTTCGTTCCTAGCGCAGACCAGGTCAGCCTCTCAACACTGGATGGACAACTATCCGATTACATACTGGTCACCATGCGGGGGTAATAATGCAAAGTCGGAGATCAACACTGTACGAGGTACGCTTGTATGGGCTGCTTCAGAGGGCCCTGAAGCTGTGCAACAAACAACCGGGGTGAGACATTGTGCCAGGGAAAGGGTGGAGAACTCTGGGGACCGCGAGACGTCTGTGTGGTCGTCTGTGAAGGATCTGGGGCCGCCGTGGGCGCCAACGCTGACCTCTCATCGGATGAACTCTCTTCCTCTTTTCAACACGATGCCCCCGCTGAATCGCTCTGGAAAACAAGCGTTGGGCCTGCAAATGCCTACCGTGCGAAACGGCGATGCTAAACACACGGGCAGAAGTTGCCCCAGGCCGAATCCTCGCGCATCCCTCGAATGAGAAACATGGCATAAACAACTCCATTCGGAGGTCCGCGTGGATTTCTTGGATCGGCACTGCATCCCCCCCTCCCAGGCGCGCGGAAGGCGCCAAAGGCGGCATCCGAAGCGCCGCCATAGGGGGCCCAGCGCCACAGCACCGGTCCAAGAAACCTGCATGGGCCTCGGACAAGCTATGTTGATGCCAATGTTTTGGATTCGGACTTCCTCCGTCAGCGGTGCTTCCGCAGACCTCCACGGATCTCCCGCCCGCCTCCGCCAATCACACCGCTCCTCCTCCAGGCTTCCACCGAGCTTCCGCTCGCTTCTGCTGGCCACACCGCCCTCGCTCTGCTTCTGCCAGCCTGCGGAGGCCTCTGGTCGGCCTCCGCCGAGGGCGGGAGCCCCACTCCCCGAGGCGCGGGAGACGGGGCCGTGTTCGGACCACCTTGGCGGGCTCATGCCTGAAGGAGGGGCCTTTGTGGGCGCAGGGACCCCGAAACGCGTAACGCCGCACCTGAGGGAGGAGGGGCAGCAGGCGGGGGAGCAGAGAAGGTGCCCGGAAGGTTCTGGGAAGTTTCAGGGAGCATCTGAGCTCCACGGGAGTTCCAGGGGTTTGGCGGGTTCGTAGGGGGTCAAGGGGAGACAACAGAGGGAGAACCCCTCCTACTTCTCCTCCTCATCCTCACCGTCCCCCCGTCTCTCCTCCTCCTCCTCCTCCTCCTCCTCGTCCTCCTCCTCCTTTCTCGCTCTGTCTTCCCATCCCGTCCTCGTGCTGGGCACGTGCTTCCGATGAGAGAGAAAAGGGAAGCGGGAAGGACGACGAAGAGGAACAAGACGGGGAGAGGCTCGAACATCAGCTCATCCCATTTTTCAAAAATGTTTGATCCTGCCCAAAAAGGAGGAACGAGGGCGATGACGAAGGTCCCGCGCACCCTTGGGGGCTAGTCTCAGGTGGAGTAGGGCCGTCATAAAGGGCCTTCGAACTGTCCAGGGATGGCGAATGTAGATTTTGAAACTCAAGCGGGCTCGCTTGGGATGCACGATCACCTTGGGCCTCCTTTCTGAATGTCAAAGGGCAGCTGTATAAACCTAGACTTCCAAAGGTCCGCGCGGACTTTTTGGATCGCTGCCGTACACCCTGGCGGCGCCTTCTGCGCCGTCCCTGGCGCACTCCGCGCGCCAGGAAGGGGGCCCAGAGCTGATCCAAGAAATCTGCGCGGACCTCCGAAAACTTATATGTCGCCCACATCCCATCCCTGACTCGCCTGTTTGATCATGTTCTGGACAACGGATTTGCTCTCTGGGGCGATGAATTCCACCAGCGGCTTGCCTGCGAAATGCTCACTTGAATCACAAGACAGAAGGCACGCCGTTCAAATGCAAATCACGCACACACACACAGACACCCTGACATCTAAATATAAAAGTACACCAACATCGATATGCGTAATGCTCAGCCAACGGCAACGAACGGAATATATCAAACTAGCGGAATATGCCGCAGGCAAGTTCCGCATGCCGTGCTAATAAGGAACAGGCTATACTATATGTGTGCCAGTGCAAACTATTATCCTCCTCTTCCATCGTTCGTCTCAGGGACAGCGGCCGAGAACTTGGTTGCGGGCAGGGGTCTCAGAGAGCCAGAGGCAACTTAATGCTGCCCACAGTCAAAATAACATCAGGATAGTTTCGAAATTGCAGCGTGCATGAGAATAATCAAACTGAGGGGGATGAGCCGAACGGTCATTCACTGTCCCTGGGTGCGTGGCTGAAATGGAACTCCGCGATGCGGAATCTTATTGCTGTCGTCGCCCCACCCGCGACCCGCCCCGCGACCCACCCGCGACCCACCCCGCAACAACCCGCGACCCACCCGTGACCCACCACGCGACCCACCCGCGACCCACCCCGCGACCCACCCGCGACCCACCGGCGACCCACCCGCGACCCACCCGCGACCTTCCCCGCGACCCACCCGCGACCCACCCGCGACCCACCCGCGACCCACCGCGACCCACCCGCGACCCACCCCGCGACCCACCCCGCGACCCAGCCACAATTTTCGGCGCCTGCGGCGGGTTTCTTTTGCATTCATTCCAGGTGGAGAACCTGCGACCCACGCGCGACCCACCGCGACCCACCCGCGACCCACCCACAACCCACCCAAAATGTTCGGCGCCTGCGGCGGGCTTCTTTTGCATCCGCTCCAGGTGAAGAACCTTCGACCCACCCACGACCCAAACCGCGCTCAGTGTACACATCAAAATGTTCGGCGCCTGCGGCGGGCTGTTTTGGAATTCCTTCCAGGTGGAGGTGGAGAGCCCGCGACCCACCCGCGACCCAAACTACGTTCACTGAGCAAACCAAAATTTCGGCGCCTGCGGCGGGTTTCTTTTGCATTCGTTCCAGGTGGAGAACCCGCGACCCAAAACGCGTTCAGTGTACAAATCTGAATTGTCGGTGCCTGCGGCGGGCTGTTTTTGAAGTCCTTCCAGGTGGAGGTGGAGAGCCCGCGACCCAAACTACGTTCACTGAACAAACCCAGAATTCGGCGCCTGCGGCGGGCTGATTTTGCATTCTTTCCGGGTGGCCCACCAGCGATCCCCCCTGCGCTGAACTTGTCAGAGCAAACAAATTGGCGCCTGCGGCGGGCTTGCTCGCGCTGGTTTGGGAAAGCGCCCTTCGTGCCATTCCCCCGATCAGGCCCACGCTGACTCTACAACAGCACATCGGCGCCTGCGGCGCCGCCCCACCCCCCCCGGCGCGCGCGCGCGCTCCGCGGAGGAGGGGAGGAGGAGCAGGGCGAGGAGCAGGAGGAGGAAGACGACGACGACGAAGACGACGACGACGACGAAAACGACGACGACGAATACGAGGACGAAGAGGAGGCCGACGACGAGGGCGAGGAGGACAAGGAGGGGGGGACGGAGGGGGACGACGAGAAAGGAGGGAGGAGGGGGAGGAGGAGGAGGAGGACGACGACGACGACGACGACGGAAAGGAGGGGGGAGGAACGGGATGGGGGAGGAAGAGGAGGAGGAGGAGGAGGAGGAGGAGGAGGAGGAAAAGGAGGAAGAGGAGGAGGAGGAGGAGGTGGAGGAGGAGGCGGACGACGACGACGATGACGACGATGAGGACGAGGACGCGGACGATGAAGAGGAGGTGGAGGAGCAGGAGGAGGAGGAGGAGGAGGATGGCGCCATCGACAAGGAAGGTGAGGGCCACGAGGTCCGCCGGCTCGACGCCCGCGTCGCCCGCGCCCGCCCCCTCACTCTTATCCGCAATTGCGGGGTGCCACGTAGTATTCATATGCGCTGTCATCGCACGGTCAACCCTCTGAAACCGGTGAATGACATAACTACTACAATACGCCTTTGCGCACATCTTAGAAAAATGTACGGGAACTTCAATGGCGTAGAAGTGCCGTGAATTCCCGGGCGACGGAGGATCTTGTAAGGCGACGTCTAATGAAGATAGTTTGTCCCACAATACATGGATTATTTGAAGGTTGATGGAATTCTCTGCTGAAGTGTCAACGTTTCACAATCAGAGCCACACAACAGTACAGCATCCGCAAGCACGATGAAGAAGCGGAAACATACATTTCAAGAGAAAGGGTAATCACAGAGGCTCTGGCCCGCACTAGGACCTCTGAAGGCTGTGCTGAACAGCAGAGGGCGCTCAAGGGGCTGACTTCTACCCTGCCCGACCAGAACGCCATCGCTTCGGTGCTTCTCACCACCATGCCCCCCGCTCTCGGATATACACAGGCCAACATCCAATGCCCATATCGGAAAGGCCGTGTGGACACTCCGAGCTGCTCGGGGTCCAAACAACAATCTCTAGCCCAAGCATGGAAGAACAACTGGTCTGGCAGGACTGGCCTGGACCAATCAACATCGAATCGGGAAATCTGATCGAATCGGAATGTGCGATAGATCGGGCTGCATCGGTACGGAATCGAAAACAAATCGGATCGGCCACGCGACAATGCACTACAACGCCATGAAAACATTGGGCCGCATCGGACCCTCGGAATATCGGAATCGTATCGGACCGACCGGAATAGATACCGAACCGGACTCAGCGGATCGAGATGAACACTGCTGGCCAGAAGGAAGGGCTGGCCCACCGCAGAAGGAATGCTCGGGCACCCTCAAAAGTGGGCGCCATCCGCAAATGATTCAGATGTGCCGAAGAGGGGGGCGGGGAAGAGGGCGGTTAGCACACCATGGCCTGAGGCATGCGCGCGGACGAGGGGCAAAGGGGGCAACGAAATCTCTGAGACCTCATGGCCCTGGCCATGAGATCCCCCTAACTCTTACCCCCCTGCTGGACGCCCCAGAGTTCGTACCCCTCTCCCTCTTGGACGCCCCCTGGTCCTCATTCCCCTCTTTGACGCCTCCTGGTCCTTAGCTCACGGTCCCCCCGAGAAAGGGGCACCGTGAGCGCACGGGCGTGCTCCTCTCCGGCACTGCCGATCTGTCGGCAAGGCCCTCGCGGGGAGCAAAAGCGCCTCCCGCTGTACTGTGACCCACTTGCAAACGTGCCCCTGGCCCGAAGAGTCCGCAGCCTCTCCTGCCGCTTGGCAAACCCTGGCTGCCCTCTAGGCCCTTAGGCCTCATGAGGGGCGCCCTGGATGCCATGGGGGGGCCCAGCTTTCGGAGGACGGTGCGGACCTCCGAAAGTTTGTCTTCATGCACTTGCTTCTGCTTCTGTGCTCGTCTGCTGGCCAGCGGGCAGCAAGGGGCGAGAGAGGGAGGCGAAGAGAGTGGGGGACTACTGGGAGAGAGGGGGGATGGAGAGAGCGAGCAAGGGAGGCAGGCAAGCGGGAAAGAGGCAAGTGGGGAAGGAGTACCAGGAACGTGTTGACTGGTGTACATATAAAGAGTAATTTGGGTGGAAATACGTTTGGACCCTCCTTTACGGACATCTTCGTTAACCGAGGGTCCACAAGGAGTCCTCCCCTCCCTGTGCGCATTGACGGCAAGGTTTACTAGTGGATCGGTGTGAGTGGGGGCGGGCCGAACGAGAGAGCGTGCGGGCGGGGAGAGTGAGCAAGCGAGACGGGGAGACGGGCACGGGGAGAGCGAGCACGTGAGCGGGGCGACGTGAAAGGGAGAAGAAGGAGGAGGGGCGCAGACGGCTTTTCTAGGCCCTCGTGCTGAATGCGCAGCGCCGCGCGCGCGCCTCACCTCACCACACCGCGCCTCACCTGACCTGACCTAACTGCGCCTCACCTCGCCTCGCCTCGCCCCTATGTGTTGTCCCTGGACAATGAGGTTTTCGGGCCTCGTCTTCCACCTCTTCCCCCCGCCTTCATAATTGGGCGGGATGGGGGGAGGGGACGGAGAGGACTCTGCACGAAGGTGGTGCCGTCCCGAATGCAACGCGTCTCACTTGTGTGTTCCCGTCTCAAGCTCTTTGGCTCGAGCGTTCATGCAGACGCCCGAGGTTTTTTGGATCTCCACTCCTTCGGCTTCCGCTGGCAGCGATAGCTCTTGGGAGCTGATCTCGGTGCTGTCTGACGAGCTCGACTCTCGTGAACAAAATGTTACCACAACGGCGCGCTTGGGTTTCGGACCTCTGCCGGTATTCCTGAAGACCCTGTTTACGGTTGTGAACGACGTGGACGATCTCGGTGCGGAGGAGTCCGACCGCGGTCAGATCGAGGCGCTGATGCCGGTGGAAGCATGGAGCCGTCGGTACTATCGTCAGAGCTCGACAGGCGGGGTGGAGGCTGCCTTGGAGAGACGTAAGTCTGGAAATCGCTGGGCTGTGTTGATGCCTGGTATGACGCTGGGGCTGATTACGATCACTGCGAAATCGAGCCTTTCTCGGACCCGATCGAGGGTATACGGTGGGCCTCTTCCTCTTCTGACGGAGCAGCAGAAGTCCTCAATTATGGCTCGGGCGACGCAAGGGCTGCAAGCGGGAACGGTGCCGGAGTGGCCTCTCTACCGCTCTGGTGGCTCAGCTCAGCAGGCTCTGGCAACGAATCTGATCTACACTCTCGTGATCTCGTGGCGGCCGGCTCTGAAGACTCTCCGATGGCCACTGCGGAGCCCGAACCGCTTCTTGGGGGTGTTGGCCTTGCTCTTCGTGTTGATGGAGTGTCAGAAGGTGCTGGGTGTGGTCTCCTATCTGGACGACACCGCTCTTGCAGTGCTCGTGTCGCTGCGGGCTGCTCGCGACACTCTGGTCGAGAGTTCAGAGGCTCTGTAGGAGTGGGGAGCGTACGTCAACGAGTGGTTGGAGTGGGGGCGGCGTGTCATGCCCTTGCAGCGGTGGTGTGCCTTTGCTGGTTGCGACGGACTTGCTTCTCGCTTG